TCTACGAAATTGCGTTCATGAATGCACATAGCTTTGTTATTGTTGCCCGGACATTGTCTGGAAGGATACCCCTTATTACAACTGGTAGCAGTTGTGTCATCAACACGTGACAGTCATGAGACTTTAGGTTTGTGAACTTCTTCTCCTTCGTGCTTATTACTCGCTTGATATTCGTGGAGTATCCAGACGGTACCTTTATGCTCTCCAAGCATTCAAACATACTTTCCTTCTCTGCCTTGCTAAGAGTGTAGCTGGCTGGACTCAAGTAATGGCTTCCTTTCTCCTTTGGTTCCGGGTGAAGGTCGCCGCATTGTTCCATATGTTTCAGATCATTACGTGCTTCCAGTGTATCTTTCAACTTTCCGTATACACCTAGGAAGCCAAGAAGGTTTACGCAAAGGTTCTTAGTGAGGTGCATCACGTCGATTGTGTGGCGTATGTCCAAGAATTCCCAATATGGTAACTCCCAAAATATAGAGTTCTTTTTCCACATCGCCGCGTGACCATCTTCGCTCTCTATAGGCTGGCTTCCAGGCCCCTTTCCGAACACTACTTTAAGATCTTTAACCATAGCAAACACTGTTTTCCCGCTGCGATGTTTAGGCTTCGTACGGTGGTCGGCCTTATGTTCGAAGTGCTTGCCTTTCTTCCGTACCGGGTGGTTTGCTGCAAGGAATCGACGATGACCCATGTATACGACCTTCCTACAGTGCTTAAGATACGTACTTTCTGTTTCATCCATACAGTGAGTGCAAGCCTTGTACCCCTTGTTGGACTGTCCGGATAGGTTGCTAAGTGCAGGCCAATCGTTGATGGTTACGAACAGCAGCGCTCGTAGGTTAAACTCCTCCTGTTTGTCCTCGTCCCACACGGGGACACATTCCTTATTCCACAACAGTTTAAGATCTTCGACCAGTGATCATAGGTACACATCGATGTCGTTACCAGGTTGCTTGGGGCCTTGAATAATAATCGGCATCATTATGTACTTCCTCTTCATGCATAGCCAGGGGGGAGGTTGTAGATACACATCGTAACGGGCCAAGTGCTATGGCCGCCGCTCATCTCTCCAAAAGGATTCATGCCATCTGTACTCAAACCAAACCGTATGTTTCGTGCGTCCTTTCCAAATTCTTTAAATTTTCTGTCGATGTTTCGCCACTGCGAACCATCGGCGGGGTGTCTCAGCATCCTGTCCTGTTGACGCTCTTCAGCGTGCCATCGCATCATTCTAGTATTCCCCTTGTTCCTGAACAAACGCCTTAGCCGTGGTATTATAGGGAAATACCACATCACCTTAGCAGGAATTCTCTTCTTTGTTAGCTGCCCGTCAACTTCTCCTGGATCGTCTCGTCTAATCTTGTATCGTAGTGCTATGCAAACAGGGCATGCTTCTAGGTTCTCATACTCCTCACCGCGATATAGGATACAATCATTCGGACATGCGTGAATCTTCTGAACTTCCAGTCCTAGCGGGCAGACTATCTTCTTAGCCTCGTACGTTGTCTTGGGCAATTTGTTTCCCTCCGGAAGAATGTTCTTGACGAGTTTCAATAAATCGCCAAAAGCCTTGTCACTAACCCCATTTTTTGCCTTCCATTGCAAGAACTCCAGAGTGGTATCCAACTTTTTGTGCCCCTGCTCGCAATCTGGGTACAACGAAGTTGTGTGGTCCTCCAACATCTTGTCCAATTTATGGGCCTCCTTTTCACTTTCGCAGTCCTCATTGGCGTCCTGCAACATCTGACCAAGATCATCCGCAACGTCGTTACCATCAGCAGCTATTTCCTCCTCGCCCGTTTGATTTCCTTCAAATCCAACATACTGAGCAAAGTCCGGAATATTGTCGTCTTCCACTTCATCTTCTTCCATTTCAACACCTTACTCTCCGTGGGATGTCCAACAATTATAGCTTGGCATGAACCCCGACTCAAACAAGTGGAAATGAATAGTCCTGAATGCAGAATACTCCTTCTGATTCTTACACTTATTGCATGGACAACAAATAAAACCCCTTTGCCTGTTAGCTTTAGCCACTCTCAAAAAATAGTGCACGCCGTCAATAAACTCTTTGGACCGCCGGTCAGCGTACATCCATTGCCGATCCATCTACATGAGTCGAAAAAACCGTACACAAATAATTATTCTTACAATAATGACAGTCATACAATAATTATAACATAATTACAAACTGTTTCAACAGTCATACAATAATGACATATCTTTATTCATACAAAAATCATAAAATATTACACCAAATAATTCTTATTTACTATTTCTAAAATTTTAAACTAATTTTAATGTGTTTTACTTCTTTTAATTTTCATTTTAGTTTGTTTTCTATTATTTAAGATTAACTTTCACTATATTTTCCTTCTCAACTATTTTATAAAACCTTCTTTAGCAAATCAACTAAATTTCTATATATTCTTTCTTCCCCACACAAATTTTCTCTCTCATCAACTTACAACTAAATTTTGGAGACAAAAAAGTGTGCAAAACATAGCTGCAAATGTAATATGACAAAAAAAAAACATTGGAGGATGAAGTTGCAAACCTTTTAGGCACCTCCGATTTGTATGTAATCACCAAAATAAATTCACCAGAAATTTTGGCATGACCTCCCCTCTTTTTTGAAGAAATTTTGAAGCTTGCTCGGGTAGCTGGAGGAGGAAGAAGACATATATATATATAGGGGTATGACTTTAGTCCCGGTTGGTAATGCCCGTTACCCTTTTGAACCGGGACTGAAGATCCCGGAGGCGCCTGACATGCCCTGACAGCATTTGAACCGGGACTAAAGATCAAATATGCCCGTTACCCTTTTGAACCGGGACTAAAGATGATCTTTAGCCCCGGTTTTTATTGCATCCGGGACTATTGTGGAATTCGGCCGACCGACGAAAGATGGTTTCTCCACCAGTGGTTTGACCCTTATAGGGGGATGATGCAGGATAAGCTAACCAAGCCATGGTGACAGCCATCTCGTGGTGTTGCACAAATTGGACGTTGTCGGGCATCACAATGATGGTTTCCTTGTAGATGACGTGCTCCAGCAACATCACATATGAATTCACGGCGCGCCGGCGCGGTAGTTGAGCTCGATCTTTACATCCACATGGCAATGAGGAATTTCTTGTGCCCTTTTTCTTCTTTTTTTTTCTGTCAAGTGCAACCAGGGTGTCGAAGCTGGTGCCGACGTTGAAGCTGGTACCGGCGGAGTTCCAGCGCAAGCACAACACTGGTGGGTGGCTGCTCAACCTGCTCACTTGTAGTGATGGTTCTTCCTACCCATGAGTGGAGAGAGAGAGAGGAGATAGAGGGGGAGCTAGGTAGAAGAAACAGTCCAAACTGAAACAACCGGTAAAGATAAAGATAGGTGGTTTAAAGTGAAAAAAATTGTTTACCCCTGGTCCAAATTGTAACGTTGGCAAAAAAAAAAAGTGTCCCCAGATGTAATTTACTCTTTTTTTAATTTGTACGTTTTTCCCTAATTTTTGAAATGTGGTGACGTAAGAGCTGTCTATGGGGTGTTTATTATTATTAGATAAAAACATAAATTATCACTTATCACATAAGATCAAGTAAAAAGCATTAAACTTGAATCCTATGCGGGTCTCTGCGGGGAGCTATGACGGGAAATGATGGGCCATGCCACTCTCACGAAAACCGATGTGGACACGTCTCCTCTCATATACTACTATGGCCGTGTTTAGTTCACGTGCCAAAAATTTTTTTAAGTATACGGACAAACATTTGAAGTATTAAATATATACTAATAACAAAACAAATTACAGATTCCACCTGTAAACTGTAAAACGAATTTATTAAGCCTAATTAATCCGCCATTAGCAAATGTTTACTGTAGCATCACATTGTCAAATCATGGCGTAATCAGGCTAAAAAGATTTGTCTCGCAATTTACATGCAAACTGTGCAATTAGTTTTTTCGTCCACATTTAGTACTCTATGCATATATCCAAATATTTGATATGACGAAATTTTTAAAAGTTTGAAGGGAATGCTACACTGCCTATGTCCCTATTAAAAAAAAACCAATTCTCACCATCTCAACCTTCTAATGGGGGTTTTTAACTATTTGCCACTCTTACGGAGTGCCACTACTGAGATGTCACTCTTCCAATTTTTTTTACACAAACACCACATGAGAGAGATATTTTTCCTAACTAGAGTGCCATATCAGCAAGGGGGACTTAAAATGACCTTTTTACCCCTAGTTTGAGAAATATGAGAGAATATATACAAACATATATAAGAAAATATTGTTTATTATATCTTAAAAAAGAGTTATCACGGGCAAATATACATGGAACAAGTTCACCACAATTTAATAATAGATTTAGCTTAGTATATTATATTAAAAAAAATTTATCACGGGCAATATACGTTGAACAAGTTCACCGCAATTTAATAATAGATTCAACACAATATATTGTATCTAAAACAGAGTTATCACATGCAGTATACGTTAAACAAGTTCACCACAATTTAATAATAGATTCAACATAGTAAGTACGTACTATATTATATCTAAAAAGAGTTATCACGGATAAATATATGTTGAACAACTTCACCCTATGTTAGAATCTATTATTTGCCCGCGATAACTCTTCTTTTAGATATAATAAACAATATTTTCTTATATATGTTTGTATATATTCTCTCATATTTCTTAAACTATGGGTAAAAAGGTCATTTCAAGTCCCCCTTGCTGATATGGCACTCTAGTTAGGAAAAATATCTCTCTCACGTGGGGGTTGTGTAAAAAAATTTAGAAGAGTGACATCTCAATAGTGGCACTCCGTAAGAGTGGCAAATAGTTAAAAACCCTATTTACAAGAGACGCACGGTACGGCACCCGCCTCGACGCTCGCGAACCAGTCTCGGCCCGAAACCCAAAAAGCCCGAAACGGCGAAACGCACCCAGATCCCTTCCCTCCCCTTCATCAAACGCCTCGACATAAAAGCCTTTCCCCCTTATTCTCTCTCTTTCTCTCTCCTCCCCCCCGCCTCGCTCCCCTCAGATCCCGATCTCCCTCCTCGATCCCGTCCATGGCGTCGCCGTCGCGGCCGCCGCCGCCCTTCGCGCCGCAAAACCCTACCCCTGCCCCCAACCCGGCCGCTTCCTCCCTCCCGGCGTCCTTCTCAAACCTCCACGTCTCCCGCGCGCCCCCGCCCTTCGCGCCGCCCGGGGGGAATGGCCCCGTGCCCTCGTCGATCCGCGCGCCGCAGGCACCGCCCCCCGGTGCGAGACCGTTCCCCGGGAGCCCGCCTCCCCCGTCGCAGCCGCCGCCGCCGTTCGCGCGGCCCGCGGCGCCGGTGCAGCAGCAACCTCCTCCCTTCGGTGGCCCGCCCGGAGTGATGCCTTCGCAGCCGCTGCAGCAGCAGCAGCAGCAGCAGCGGCCTGCCTTCGGTGGTCCGCCGTCCGGTGCCCCGCCTGCGCAGGCGCAGCGGACGCCCTTCGGAGGGCCGCCCTCGGCGATGTCGCAGGGTCCGCTGCCATTCGGTGGCCCGCCCGCGGCGGTGGCGTCGCAGCCTCCTCCTTTCGGTGGACCGCCTGTGGCGGCGGCGCAGCCTCCCCCATTTGGCAGGCCTCCGTCTGCAGCAGCAGCAGGTCAATCGGCTCCGCTGGGTGGGGCTCTGTTTGCAGCGGCACAGCCACCTCCATTCGGCGGGCCACCTGGGGCAGCGCCGCAGCCGGCGCCCACTGGTGGGTTGAGGACGCCGTATGGAGGGCCACCGGCGCCATCGCAGCAGGTTCCGTTTGGTGGAGCACCACAGTGGCCAGGAACACAGCCTCCGCCTTTTGGGGCTCAGGCTGCGCCGTCGTCCCAGCCACCTCCGTTCATGGGGGTGCCAGGGAATGCTCCGCCATTCAGGCCTCCGGGTTGGCAAGGGCAAGCACGACCAGTGAGTGTTCCTTTTGCCATTAAATTTCATAAATGTGTTTGAAAAGGAAGAGGTCTAGTGGTTGTGAACTAGTTATGTTGTAACCTGGGTTATGAGCAACTGTACACCTTAGCTGTAGTGGGCATGTTGAAGCACATAGAGTGTTCTTGAAAAGAACTGATGAGACACATTTCTGGGCGATAGGATAATAAAGATGCTTATTTCATTTAACATGAATCTGATGATGTTGAGTTCTAGAGGCTGGTATAGAAGCTTGCTATCTGTGTTATTGTGCATGCTTAAGTGAAATATTACTTCTTTTAAGAAGATGTGAATTACTCTAGATCGAGGAAGAGCACGTACGAAAAATCCACTAGTATTAGGATGTGCTCTATTTCTTTTTGATGTGTAGTTCACAACGGAAATCGAATCTTACCATTATGATGAACCAAGTACAATTTCTATTATATTTCCTCGCACTTGTTATGTTGATTTCTTATGATGCTTGGAGCCTTGTAATCACAAATTGCTGAGATTCATGGCACATCAACACAGTCTCCAAAATGCAACCTTTACCATAAATTTCTGTTTCAACAAATCATATTTTGAAAATTCTTATTGAGATAATTATATTCATATGAATTCCATCTATTTTATCCAATATTTTAAAAGATATTGATACCTAATGTTTCTAAAGTTTGATTGTGGATATGTCCAAAACAACATTCATTTGTGATTCATAGGGAATAAATAGTTTGACAGAAATAAATAGAAGCATTTTTTCCTTTTTGGTTTATTTTGTGGGAGATACCTGAAAATTTTCAATTCTTATAAGCTTGAAACTTATACCCTTGAGGTGATCTTTCGGAACTTTTAGGGAGCTATGTCTGCTGGTATGCAGCTAATGCCTGGCGGCATGCTGCCCAATGCTCTAGGACAAGGGATGCCGTCCACACCCTCAATGCCATATTCTCCACATGCTGGAGCCCAGGTCTCTACCCCATCCAAAATTGATCCTAATCAAATACCACGTCCAATGCCTGAGACGTCAGTTGTCATTTTTGAGACCCGGCAAGGTGGCCAAGCAGCTGTTCCACCGGTATGTATTTACATTTAGTTATTCATATCTTGAAAATTCTTGTTCCAGATGGTTTTACTATTGAAACTACTGTTTCTTTTTCTCTGATCACTATAATTGATTTTAGGCTGCGTCCAGTGAATTTATTGTCAAGGATACAGGTAACTGCAATCCACGTTTGATGCGGTGCACCTTAAATCAGGTTAGACTATCTTCAAATGTTCAGTATTCAATTATTATGTTCCCTCTTTTATGTTAGCATTTGTTTTTATTTATAAACTATTTGTTACATATACTATCAGATACCATGTACAGGAGATATCTTGACAACATCAGCAATGCCATTGGCCTTGATGGTGCAACCTTTTGCACTTCCTCATCCTTCCGAGGAGCCTATCCAGGTACTTTGTTCTCACCATTTTTCACACAAAGCAAATACTTATTTGCAGCAACTGATATGGCATGCCAGCTCAATGAGAAATCAATCTGTGCATGGATGATTATAATGATCTATGCCATTGTACCATTCACCCAAAAGTGAGCATATATGTTTCTATATCCTTGGTTTGTACTTTTTCTATGTGCTTGACTATAGGATTATACTATTGTACTTCATTCAATTCAGTCATACACAACACTGTAAGAAATACTGTGAGCATGCTTATAATGATTCAAATGTCAGTAAATTTGTCCTTGGCTGTGCTTTAACAGCTGATTCTGGCAACATTAGATTCTAATGCAAACTTCATTATTTGCTAATTTAGTTAAATATTCATTACCACAGACCTTAATGATGCATGATTTTGTGTTATATTTGCTTTGGGGTTGACATTTATTATCTTATTTTAGCTTGTGGACTTCGGAGGGATGGGACCTATTAGGTGTTCACGCTGCAAAGCATACATAAATCCTTTCATGCGATTCATTGATCAAGGGAAGCATTTTGTCTGTAACTTATGTGGTAAGGGATACAGATGCAAACTCTCATTTATTAGCTTGCTTTTCAATGCTAGTTTGTCTTGCTGTCGAGCTTATTTATTATTTCTGGCTGCCAGTGGAAATACTTTCATACAACTGTGCTCTTATGAAACTTTGTGGGTCATTGAAATGTTCAGCCGGTGCTATTTTTTTTTTCTTTCTGTTGAGTAGATGGTACTTTTCAAAGTCAATCCTCTTGTATGTCTTCTGACCTTTATGGTCAGGGTTTATTCTCTTTTTGATTGTTTGGCTGCTTTAATCATTGTTTTCATATAGAATATTAGTATTTTCTAACATGTCATACTTAGTTAAAGCTACTATTTTACAAAGTAAACTGATACTGCAGGGTTTAGCAATGATACTCCAAGGGAGTACTTGTGCAACTTAGGTCCTGATGGTAGGCGACGCGATGCTGATGACAGGCCTGAATTATGTAGGGGAACAGTTGAATTCATTGCCTCCAAGGAATTTCTGGTCTGTCCTTACCTGCTCCTTTTATTGTGCACAAGATTCATGAAACTTACTAATGTAAAGCATGTGTCTACTGGTTTTGTCTTATTTGATTGATCAGTATTTCTGCAGAATAGCTTTTTATTTGCACTGTATCTGCTGAACTTTCACATTCTAGTTTCAGTAATATATTTTATAATTTCACTTTGATAACATTGTATTAATGATAATGTAATCTTCAACCTTTTCAGGTTCGTGATCCAATGCCAGCTGTGTATTTTTTCCTCATTGATGTCTCCATGAATGCCATACAGACTGGTGCAACAGCTGCAGCTTGCAGTGCAATTTCCCAGGCTCTTTCGGACCTTCCTGTAAGTTTACATGCTGTTTTCATGTATAATCAGTGAGCGCACACAAAAAACTTTATCACTTCATGCTAACGTGCAATCATCTTGATTGTACCTACTAATTTATCCTTGCAACCTGGACATGTTTACATCAGATTTTCACCTGTGTAAAACAGATTTTGCAGTTAACTTTTTGAATTTTGATTTGTCTTTCCTTTTTTTATGATTATGGTTTATTCTTTAACTAACTTCGAGGATACTGTGTCTGCAAATCAGCATTTGCTTCTGTTCCATGTGCCAACATCATAGCCATGAAACAAGACAAATTTGAGCCATTTGCTCACCCTTTATGTTGTTGTGCTATATGGGATAATGAGGGATTCACATTCCCTTATTGGCTAATTTCATCTTCTGATTTGTTTGTCATTCTATACATCATAAATTTGGGTAAACCCGAATATATCTCTAATGGGTCAGTGCAAGAACTGGTCACTAGTTTTGAAATCACTTTTGGAATGATCATGATCATAGGAATGGGCACTGGCCCAGTATGCAGGTAATGGTTGTCTCACTCTAGTTCAATTAAATGAATTAAATTTCACTTTTTTGGGGTTTAGTTCATTTAGTTGAATTAGAGTGGGTCAACCATTACCCGTGGGTCGGCCCACACCCATTCCTTGTTCCCTAATAATGGGAGTTTGGAAAGGTCGAATGTAAGGGTGCAAGTGGTGTTAGTCTTGCCACTAACCTTCTGGGCTGGCTTGGGCCACTAGCCCACCAACACTACCCCAAGGGCCCACTTAGGTAAAGCATGTTTATGCAGCAGACCCACAAGGCTTTTGGTGCTGCCCTATTGATCTCTTGTACATCGCCCAGTAGGTTATGAAAAGGGGCTGGCAGGTTTGGTTAATAACTCAGTCCCTCATTGCCACCGCCACCTGGGATGTCAGCCTCCTTAATGACAATGCAGGTACTACAGCCAAGCACTACCCTTTGATACTTTCCCCGGCATTGTGGATGCTGCCCTATGTGTGCAGCCCTGCCCCAGTGGGTGTGGTGGCCTTGCGTAATGGACTCGTTCATCATGAGGGAAAGGCATGGCAAGTAGGCAGTAGTTGAGTGAATGAGCCAGATGGACAAATATTCTTATCCACAGATCTATTGAATGTGATCAAATATCAATGAGTTCATCAGAAGGTTCAACAAGCAGCTGTGCCTCGCCATTGGTATCGCTTGGAGCTTCCATAATTAGAGGCTTAGAACCAGCTCACTTCATGTGGAGAACATGCAGAGCATGAATCCATGTTGGCTGGTGGGTCTGGTGGAACCTGCCAAGCATCCATGTGGGTTTGCGTGCAGCCCGGTGGGTAGGTGCTTGCTATCAATGTGGAAGTAGCACGGGCTGCTACAACCTTAATAACTGCACCCTAGTTTGATGCCAATATTTATACATGTAACAAATTGTGAAATGATCTAGTGGTGTTATTGGTGTTATGTCTGAATACTGACATCCTACCACCACCTCTTAGTTGGTGGGATCTTTAGTGGATAATTATGATTGTTGCGTTTGCGTGCAGCACGGTGGGTAGGTGCTTGCTATCAATGTGGAAGTAGCACAGGCTGCTACAACCTTAATAACTGCACCCTAGTTTGATGCCAATATTTATACATGTAACAAATTGTGAAATGATCTAGTGGTGTTATTGGTGTTATGTCTGAATACTGACATCCTACCACCACCTCTTAGTTGGTGGGATCTTCAGTGGATAATTATGATTGTTGCAAATTATGCTTTTTCAAGTTTAGAACTTATGATATGTATTTATTTGAAATCTGTTGCAATACATGGCTACTTGGCTAGTTTTGATAAAGCTGTCTTGTGCTTTTGCTTATTTTGTGCCTCCTTAAATTTTAGATAAGCAATAAGTTTAATAAAAAAATGGACCACTATAGGAATTTCTTTGACAATTGTTATGTCTTTTGTAGGAAGGTCCTCGAACAATGGTTGGGATTGCCACATTTGATTCCGCTATTCATTTCTACAGTCTTAAACGTGATCAGCAACAGGTATGCTTTGAGTGTCTGGTAGCAATTTTAATCCTTATATGCTTCATCCCATCGTTAGGTTAACGATTAATCAAGATCTGTTCTATGGTAAGATAAGACATGTTCTAGTGCATACCAGTAGCCAAATCACTTTAGTTCTGGTCATCTGGTGTTAAATAAATGCGAAAGATTCCAAAATGGGAAGTTGTCCAGGTAGTGTCAGTTTACTTTACCACTTTATGTAATATCGACATTAGCTTTAATCAGCACCTGGAGATAAAGAAGATATTGTTTCATAGAACATAAATTATAAGAAATATGGAGGACAAGTTGATATTCAGTATTGACAAAAAAATATATTATTATCCCTTTTGTTTCCCTCACATCATCAAGTCTTAGCTTGAAAGTTCTAAGGTGGATAGGGCACTGCATTGGCTATATTTCCAAAAGATTGTAATTTTTTCTGTGTTGGTGTGCCATCCGACCATGAAGCAGTAAAAAAGGCCATCGTTGTTCCATGGAGCAGTTTAGCATAATCTAAGCATGATGTCATAAGCTTGTGCATACCAATCAAACTTCCGCTTTTTAACTATTGTTCACAACCTTGCTAGTTATTGGATTTCAATATTTAAACTGTTCATTCACCTGTTTGCCCTTGCAGCCTTTGATGCTTATTGTTCCAGACATCCAAGATGTGTACACTCCACTTCAGACTGACCTGATTCTCCTGATTTCTGAGGTTTGTATTCACTCAAATGACAAATGTGTTATGATTATTAGCTTCTTATAATTCTTGTTACGGGTTAAAAAGTGTCAACAATTCAAACATGAACAAGAAAAATCTGTACATGGAAAAAATTGAAATATTTTATTTTTTGAGACTTTAGTGCCGTGAGAATTTGGAGCAATTACTGGAGAGCATCCCTAACATGTTCGAGAACAATAGGGTCGCTGATTCAGCATTTGGGGCAGCTATGAAGGTACAACTTTGCACAACCATTTCCTTTGTCTGTTTACTGCTTTTATGGTGGAGATTTAATCTGTAATATCCTGTTTGGTGGAGATTTTGTTAAAAGTAATCAAATTAGTGCACATATGTTCTATCTTTTTATCTACATGCTTCACTGGACAGGTTGCTGATAATTATGTATGTATGTTGCATGCAGGCCAGTTTCCTTGCTATGAAGTCTACTGGTGGAAAACTACTCGTGTTCCAGTCAGGTAATTTGATAGGTTAACTTGTCTGTTGAGTGATTGAGTGGCATATCTCTATAAATCCCACCCTTGCGTGCACTCCTACACATCCACTTAGAACACAGTGCAAATGGTTCGTATCCTTTCTCGAATGAGTTGTTTGAGGCTTCTTTTTAATGAAAAGCTGTGGGGGCGGTCTTTCCCCCACCGTCTGAGGGGTTATTTTTGGACCTTGACAACCTATGCAAGGTAGAAAGATTAAAATGAACACACATCCCACTGAAAATAAAAGCTGCTTGGGTTTTACACCTCTGAATTCTTGTGTTTGTCTAAAATGCACCCCCAAACTACAAAACCGGGTATGATACACACCCCAACTATCAATACCGGACAATTTACCCCCCTCAGGCTTTGTTCGTTTCATCCCTAAGAGAAGGGGAATGGAGGGGATTGAGGGGGAATAATTCCACACCACAATAAGGCTGTGTTCGGCAGCTGTTTTCCCGGCGCGCACAGTAACTTTTCGTCCGCGCACGCTTTTCAAACTACTACACGGTGCATTTTTTTGCAAAAAGTTTCTATACAAAAGTTGTTTAAAAAAATCAAATTAATCCATTTTTGAAAAAAAAATTAGCTAATACTTAATTAATCACGCGCTAATGACCGCTCCGTTTTCCGTGTTTACTGTGCGCGCTGGGAACGCTCTCAGCCGAACACAGCCTAAGTGTGGAATAAATTCCCTCCAAATCCCCATCAACCTCTTTGTAGGAGGGGATTAAACGAACAAGGCCTCAATGGTTTTACGGTGGTTTTGGTGCACTTGGATGTCAAATATGATGTCATCAAGTCCATGTCAGCCCATAAGTGGATTAGTTTACCTTGCTGTTGCCCGTCGACATCAGCACGAGTGATGGCGGCGTATACCTGCGGGAAGGCGGCGGCGGCATGAAGGTACAGGGGCAAGCAGCTGCGCGGCGCAGCCTGCTGGAGCACCTCCAAGACGTTGCGGCACTTGTTCTGCTCAATACACAAGCAAAATAATGAGGATAGCTAGCGTTTGGGGATGGGCCAGGCGGCCAACATGACGAGGTAATGATGGAGCTGCTTGTGCGCCGGCAGAAGTAGTGGGACTGCATGGATATGGCCACACAGACACCCAGTTGGCCTGCAGGCTCTGGCATCGAAGTTCTTCTCGCGCCCCGGGAGCACTGCGCTGCAGCTGCTTGCCCCATCCGCCTCCACCACGCCGTCGGATGTCGCCTCTGCAGGTGCACGCCGTCGCCACCCGTGTTGATGCTGATGACAAGGGAAACTAATCGCACATATGGGCTTGGCCCATATAACCTCAAGAGCTGATGTGGAATACTTGGCAATTGGCATTCAATGTGGCGTCCACGTGTAACAAACCACTGTAAAATCGCTTGAGGGGGGTAAAGTGTCCAGTATTGATAGTTTGGGGGTGTATTATACCTGGTTTTATAGTTTGGGGGTGCACCTTTTAGACAAATACGGAGTAAGAGTTTGAGGGTGTAAAATGGACTTTACCCTTTTTAAAATGGTCATGCACTGAAGGGTAGGACATGATGGATACGATTTCATCCTGTCTCTACTGTTTCAATTGCATGTACAACTTGCTGGTTTGGTTTCCATTTTTTGTTTTATAGCTTCCTTGTTCTGGAAAGCTATTTTTAGGTGATCTCAGAAATGAATCTGATTGTCAGCCTTCTACAATAAAATAGAACTTATTTTTCTTCTGTAGATTGTATGTTATACTTGTTTTGCCAGAAAAGAAAAGGCAATTTATGTGCATTTTGGCACTTGCAGTACTACCATCAGTTGGAATTGGTTCATTATCTGCCAGGGAAGCTGAAGGTAGATCAAATATTTCCACTGGAGATAAGGTATCATTCATTTTGTTTGATGTTTTGTGTAAACCTGTTATAGAACTATAGAAATTTACATCTGCTAGATCACTTCCATTCAATATTTCACCTTGTTTTCCTTATTATATCCTTCCCAAGTCCAACTCAATAAGTGATGGGATTTTCTTTTTCTGCATGTGATGCTAACAGGAAGCACATAAGCTCCTGCAGCCTGTTGATAAGACTCTGAAGACGATGGCACTAGAATTTGCAGAGTATCAAGTGAGAAACATTTGTTTCTTTTTTCAAGATGCTGCTTTTGTTTACTTAATGTAATGAATAATATTTCCTTATTATTTTTTATCAGGTTTGTGTGGATGTGTTCCTTACTACACAATCATATGTAGATATTTCTTCTATATCAGTTGTTCCTAGTACCACTGGTGGCCGGGTATGCTTCTCTCTCTTAGTTTCATTAGTACAATTAGCTTACTGAAACAATATTGAACATTTCATCTTTAAACTCTTGAATATTTCGTTGATTCAGAAGATGAATTTCACACCTAAGTGATATATGATTAAACCCTGTAACGCAAGGGATTAAACCCTATAAGGCTATAACAACAGTTGAAATATCAGAAAATAATAATATTGGAAAAATTAATAATAGTTTGAGGTAGGATTGTTGCTAGGCAGAAAAGAAGTGGGTGTATACTCTACTTAATCGTGGTTATGCCTGGTGATGATTTTGTCATAGCTCATCAGTGTAGTATATGCCTTAGGTCCTTGCATTTATATAGGCCACTATGGTGCAAAAGATTTGTCATATCAAAATGCTTTTGACTTTTGATTATTCTTCTCGTTGCAAATATAAACTGCCAATAGAATGAAAATACATGACATCCCATTGGTGATTGTGCACGACATGATACTTATGACATTTATTTTTGAAAACCCATTTTTAAATGGGATCAACCTAGGAATAACTAGGTGGTTTTGTATTAAGAAGAAAATAGACCCAAATTCACCTCGATGAGGACTCAAACTTGGGTGATCTAGGTATGAGTTCCTGATATACATCTACACCATCGACCAACTGGCTACGCTCAGTTCCTGTTATGAGTTATGCTGTATACACATAATCTGTTGTTTCTCTAAATTTTTGAGGTTGCTAGTACCCCAAAATCTTTTGAACCACTGCTTGTGTTTTTATTGTCTCTGGCACTTCACATATCTATAACAGATTCATTGGTAACTTTTTCAGTTTTTCTGCTTTTTTTCTTGTGTTTGATCTGAATATCTTGCTGTAATTTGCAGGTGTACCATTATTATCCATTTTCTGCCCTTTCTGATCCAGCCAAGCTGTTCAATGATCTCAGATGGAATATCAGTAGACCCCAGGGATTTGAGGCTGTCATGCGTGTGAGGTGCAGTCAAGTAAGTATATTTCTGATCCTTCCCCCTTCATATCATACTCAAGTGGTAACTTGAATTTTCGTTCTGTTTTAATGTGCCATTAGGGACTTCAAGTTCAAGACTATTCTGGCAACTTCTGCCGGCGTGTTCCTACTGATATTGATCTCCCTGCGGTCAGTAACTAAGATTGATACCTAATCTAGATTGATGCCAGATTTTCCTATGTTGCTTGCATATTGTTTATCATAAACACAATTAAGGTTTTTTTAGAGAGAGCATTGGTTAGATTATACACATCCAATGCTTGTGGATGGAAAGGATCAAAGGACCCATTTTCAGTGGCACTGGCTGTTTATCTACAATAAAAACTTTATCCGGTGTTTTGCTGGAATTGCCTTTGTTTGACAAGAAGTGAAGATGTAGATGCCTAGAAGGTCAAAGAAAATACAAGCTTGTACAAACATATGGCAAAACTAGTAACTTATGACAGGAATCATGTGGAAACCACTTATGTAATGGTGCTTACAATTGCATACCATGAACTACCTATCAAATCATGTTATATCACCGCATCTGTTAGCAGTTTCATTCGGACTGTTTCTTTTATAATTTTTTAGATGTGGTAGAATCGAAGTTTTGCTATTTATTCTTAAGAGGGGTTCTTGTGCTGCAGATTGACTCGGACAAAACCATAATGGTCACCTTTAAGCATGATGACAAATTGCAGGAGAATTCAGAATGTGCTTTCCAGGTAATGTAGTAGATTTTGAAAAATTAGTTAGTGTTGCATGCCATTTTTTTTTCATAGTGCTTCCATTACCATCCTTTAGACCACATCATTGAGAACAATTCTGGAACATCTTCAACTTCAAATAAAGTGTGAATCAGAACATACTTTCTTGTTTGGTTTTATTTATAACTTGGTAAATAAAAGGAACACGTGGAACCTACTAGATGGCTGATCCAGACCAATGCTCCAGTGCTGCCCTACTGCTACTGGCTCTGAGAAAGCTAGTCTCCTACTTGCTGATCAGTGACCAGTTTTGTTTTGATTGCTACCTTTAATTGGTCCCTGGCTCCATGCACTGCATTAGTCATACTGGAAAGTGAGGAGACCTAGTAGTGATAGACTGATAGTGGCAAACTTATGCTGTTGCCATCTCATTTCAAAAGATATGATGCAAGCATGTTCATGTGTGATGGTAGTCGTAAAAGTGTTATTAATTAGTCCGTGTGTACTAAAGGTAGTATATATCCTGTTACCTGTTGCCTCAGCACCTTCAAAACTTTGTTTTGCTCAATTTTCTTTTTCATTAGCCTGTCCTCAGATTCTTTACCCATTGGTGAGAACCTGATTATCTCTCCCCTAGTATTAAAGTGTACTAAGTACTAAGTTTATTTATCTGAACTTGTTCGAATAATCATTTGCTATGGAGTACTTGCTTATATTATCAGCCTATCAGGCATTGCTAATAATACTAGTTATTGGTGATACATCTTCAGTGTGCACTTCTTTACACGACGGTATATGGACAAAGAAGGATACGGGTCATAAACCTCTCACTTTCATGCACAAATGTGCTCAGCAACCTTTTCCGATATGCTGATCTGGAAACACAGTTTACCTATGTTGTGAAGCAAGGTAAACTAATGCATTTTCATTTATTTATTGGGTCGGTTTAGCAAAATTATGCATAATTTGACAATGTATTACAACTATAGATGTAGCTGTGGTACTTTGAAAACTACTGATTTTAAGGCATATTATGCCAAAACTCAGCACCAAATTTATTACAGAATTACATATTTAAGCCATTCTATCGCAAAATTAATTATTCAGTGTTGACTATCACAAAACTACTGATTCTAGAAGTTCCATGAGGATAACAGTGCTTGGAATAAGACATCAAAATCTATAGCTTTGTGATAAATTCTGTTAAATCTGTACTTTTGCGAAACAGTAGCTTCGATCTTTTGTTTCGTGGTAAATTTGGCTATACCTGTTTTGTGATATGGCTGACTAAATCTATAGTTTCATGAAATTTACTCTGGCATATGTTTATAATTTTTTTATTTCCACAATTATTAAGCTCAATAACTTGTCCGTTGATCAGAAATATCATTAGTGAAGCAGGCATTTAAACTGTTGTGTCATGCAAAGTGTGATGATGTACTAACTTATTTTGCAATACCTAGCCGCAAATGCCATTCCATCAACACCTCTATCCCAAGTTAGGGACCAAGTGACGAGCACATGCATCAATATACTCCAGTCTTACCGAAAACATTGTGCATCTGTAAGTTCTTCGGGACAATTGATTCTTCCTGAGGCTCTAAAGCTCCTGCCTTTGTATACGCTAGGTATGATTTCTTGCCTCCAGTTTGCTAGTTTGTTGTTTGCATTCATTAGCATATCTGTAACCATAAAAAACATTTTTATTGATTTGTCAGCATTAATTAAAAGTGTTGGATTGAGGACTGATGGGAGATTGGATGATCGGTCCTATTGGGTGTCAACTGTCTCTTCAATTTCTGTGTTACTAGCCATTCCATTGGTGTTCCCTAGGATGATTGCCCTCCATGATCTTGCGTCAAGGGTAAGAACGGTCAATTGTTTCTGGCAGTCCACGTTATTTAAGAGGTAATGCTAATTATTTTGAATTTACTATGTTGTGCAGAGTGATGATGATTCCCTTATACCAAACCCCCTTACACTCAATAGTGAGAATACGCTTGATTTTGGAATTTATTTGTTGGAAAATGGTGAGGATGGTTTTGTTTATGTCGGAAATGCAGTAAACCCTGCCACCCTTGAGCAAATATTTGGTGTTTCATCTTTGGCTGGAGTACCAAATCAGGTTAGTCTTGTGCATAATCTATTTTCTCTTTACCTGATGGATTTTTAAGTTTATAATAACATGAGTGGGGAATTAGGAATTATCGATAACATCGTGAAATTTGTTTTGTTCCCATTTAATTTTGCAAATGAGATTGACCAATAGCTGATTTCTTTCAGTTGGTATTGGAGCAATATGATAACGAACTTTCCAGGAAAGTAAATGAAGTGGTGAATGAAATAAGGCGACAGAGATGCTCCTATTTGAGGTACTCTTTGCAAGTTCTCAACTATGTTGATGACATTGGTACTTTCAGTCCTTTGACATTTTCTAAATTATCTTGCAGATTGAGACTATGCAAACATGGGGACCCATCTGGTTAGTATTCTGGCGATTTTTCTTAGCTTGTAGGAGTAATAATACCTAATATTACTATCTCTTAATGCTTCTCATTCACTGCTGCAGGAGATTTCTTCCGCTCACTATTGGTCGAAGACAAGGCACCTGGTGGCCTTTCTTATGTAGAGTTCCTTGTACATGTTCATAGGCAAATCCAAAGCAAGATGACCTGAGGTGGGACCCCATCTCGTTGTTGTAATATTTTGGTATAGTAGGAACCCCAGAAGAAATTGATCTCGGATGATGATACACCAAAAGGAATGGAGCAGGTACTCTCCAAAGCGCTAATTGAAATGGCCCTTGGAGACTTGTTGCAGATTTTCCAGGATTTCGCAATATTTTGAAGCATCGATTTTGGCCTCGGTGATATATGTTTGTGCATAGAGATGAGCCAGGTGGAGTTATTGGTCTTAGATTGTGGAACTATTTATTTGTCTTTTGAACAGCTGCTGTATTATGTTGAAAGGAAGCAAAGAGATGAGTTGACCAATAATATTGTATGGCTAGTACTTGTCATATGTCATATGCATGTACTGATGTACCAATTGCATGTAAAGTTCACAATTCATAATAGTGGGGAGAGCATGTTCGAGTTCGACTACCCCTTTCACTGGAAACAGTGGTGAGGCCGTGAGGGTAACCTTCCATAACCCTTCTGAAATATGTTATAAAAGGTTGAATTTCATGAGATCCAGGGGCATGTAAGGTTTCTAGCATATCAAGTTTATAATGCAATTGCAATAGCCTTCATCGCCAAGGAGAGGCAGTTAGGCAGCGCAAAAACTAATATAGTAACTGCCTGAAATGACGATTAGTTTCAAGATAACGGCAAGGGCATCTGACGAAAAGATAACATTGCATTGAACATACATTTCATTTACAAGAACTACCTAGAAAAAAAAGCTAATAACCAATCCTTAAGCAAGTAGCAACGAGGAAAGAAATTCATACATCTTTAGAGTGTCAAGGTTCCATTCTATCGGTTGAATGGTCCTTTCCTTTCTCCTGTCGCCGCTGTCGGGTCGAAGAACCATTCGACTTCTTAGCTGAATTTGGGATAGTTTGCAAGTTTGCTCGCTCTTCAATCATTGCTGCCCAAAGGAACAAGTGAACAAAACATCAACGAATGCTTCGAATGTGAACAAAACATTTGGCCAGGTTAGTTACAAATGCTTCAGATGTGAACCAAACTTTTTGTCAGGTTAGTTACAGTTTAGAAACATACATGTTGCCTGCTGCATCGCCAGATCACGCATTTGCCCTAGGCCAGTTTCCACTGCCTGAGCAACCTTGGCCGACTTGTTCACACCATCTGCTATCTCCTGGCTGCAAGGAACATTCCATGCGCTGGTTACATGATGATGCGCATTAAGTTTCTTCAGATGCTTATGAGGAATGCACAGCATCTAACTATCAAGTATCAACCATCTAGGACTAGGAGTACATAGAATCATGTCTATCCGTAGAAATTAAAGCAAGCAATACAATAATGTCATAATCAGTGCAGACTAAACAGTGACATGCCAATGAAATGGACAAACAAACTGTTTCAAATAAAAAATCTGCAGGAACCTAAAATTTTTTGGGACAGCATATTTAATGGGTAAATCATTTACTCTTACAAAGCAAATAGATGAACTGACAATGGAGCTTAGCCGTTCCCTTTTTTGTATAACTAATCCATTTAGTGAATGCTCATACCTCAAGTCACTAAGTTCAAGGGTGAGATCACTAATTTCCATGCCAGAGAGTCTTACAGCTGCCATTGTACTAGGTAACTCCTCAAGAGCTGCATCAGCGAGCAAAGTAAATGAATTTGCGGCTCTCCTCATAGCCTGTTGAATAATTTGATGCCAAAAATTCCATCAGATAACTCAATACTACATAGCTATGAAATATATCAGTTTTGGAATTTTCAAATAACAGTCAAAAATAACCGGGCAAAAACAACTGTATTAATGTGATTTTTCATCTCGACAAATACCACTACCAATGGAGTGAGTAAACAACCTATAGTCTGACAAATGCCCATGATGCCGAAAATTCCATCAGATAAATTTATACTGTATATGGATAATAAATATCAGTTTTGGTATTTTCAAATAGGGAAATTTTGCTACAGGACACTTGTTATATGTGGTTTTAGCCCAGGGACACCGCAAAAACGTGGCTTTGGGGAAAGACACGCTATAAATGTGGATATTTGCCGATGTACACTACGCCGTCTAACTTAAGCCTACCGTACTGACGTGGCGGTCGGGAGCCCTTTTTTTGCCCGGTCGGACCTAAATGCCCCTGTGACCGTTTTTTTGAAGGTGACGTGGTCGCGGTGGATTCTCGCCGGCGCCGGCGGTGAACGGCGGCCGATCTAGCAATGCAAGCAAAAGAGAAAACGTAGCTGAGTCTTTTGCGCATCTAATGGTGGTGGTTTCATGGACTGAGGTGGCCGGGATCGATGGTGACGGTGGCACAAGCGGTGGCGAACCTCGGTATGCATGTGCATGTCGAGCTCCGGCTTGATTTGTGCAAAATGTGTGCATGCATGTGCGGCAACAGGGTTCCTAGAGACTCACTAAAGGTCGTGCGTGCGCTAACAAAGCTTGGGCGACGACGACGATGCGTGGAGCGACCCAGAGGCGGTGGAAAACGGCGGTGCGACGGCGACAGCCTCCTCCAGCCTCCGATCTACCAAGAAAAAGAGTGGAATGGCGCTTAAACCAACTAAGGATGTTTCATGAATGAGGACTTGCGCCGAAACTCACTCGGGAGCGAGGAATCGACAAAGACGGTCGGCGGCTGGACTTGGAGAGGATGAAGGGGATCTCCACATCGGCGGCGTCTTGGCTTCAATCTTCTTGGGCGTCTTTCTCCTTGGACCTGGGTGACGTCGTTGGCGCAGTGGTTCAGCCTGAGATTCACCGGATGGACGGGAACAGAGAAGGAAGCCGGCGACGGCGCTCTGGAGCAGAAGACGGAGACGCGCACGGCACAAGGTGCTTGATCTGCGCCAAAATGGACAGCGGCGGCGGCGGTGGTCGCCGGAGGTGGTGGTGGTGGTACTTGACGCTGTGCTGCAGGTTCAGGCCGCCCGGGTAGCGCGGCACGGCGCGCGGGTCACCGACGTCCGGCCACGCCATGCCGGCCGCCTTGCCGTCCCAGCCCAGCGCAGGGGCATTTAGGTCCGACCGGGCAAAAAAAGGGCTCCCGACCGCCACGTCAGCACGGCAGGCTTCAGTTAGACGGCGTAGTGTCCATGGGCAAATATCCACGTTTATAGCGTGTCTTTCCCCAAAGCCACGTTTTTGCGGTGTCCCTGAGCTAAAACCACACATAACGAGTGTCCTGTAGCAAAATTTCCCTTTCAAATAACAGGAGAACATAATTGGGGCAGAAACAACTGTATAATTTGTAGTTGTTCCCACTGCACTTCCCCTTTCTTCTTCTCGCCTTCTGATACCACTTCCTTTATTTCAATCATTAGCAATCGACCCCTCAACTTTCATAAAACTTTTCTTCGTATTTTCTTTTCTACTGCCATAATCAATCCATCTTGGGTGTAGCTTACCAGCTGTCACAAGCCCACAAAGCATAGGCAATTCTCTAAGAGAATGAAAAGAGCCATGCATTGATGCATATTATGACATTGATCTCCATAACTAGTGCAAGGCCACATTGTTAGCAGCTACAATAGTTAGATACAATGGTGTTGTTGGCATTCTACCGAGTTTGGCGAATTACTGAATAGCTTCAGTGATCACATCGAGCACCATACTGCACTCATATTTCAGCATGCATAATGGCGGTTCCCAGGCTCATCCTTACGTTTTCTTAAGCAAATCCCACATTTAAGCTAGTTGTCATGTCCATCTCGACAAATACCAGTGAGGCAATGACTAAACACCCAATTGTCTGACAAATGCCCATGAGTCTACTACCCAAGGACCCAATTTGGTGGAGATTTTACGCAAAATAGATGTGCGCAAAGCTCCATTAAATCATTCTCCGAATAAATAAAGGGCCCAACACAGCATGGCATTAGAAGCAAAGCTTAACTAGCAAATCGCATTAGAGTGAGATGCATTGCTAAATGCTAAGAAACTTTACTGCCTACTAGTAAACGAGCCAGAAGAAGAAGAAGAAGCAGTGAGCATTACTAGCATCGTAGGGATGGCCACGGCCACCATGCTCGTGAACGCCGCCGACGTCTGCGCCACATAACACACAGCAGAAGCAAGCGGGGAGAAAAATGTGAGATAATACGACTTAAATTATACTCCATCAGCTGTATTGCACGGGGGAATGGAAGCCTCACCGCGACGGCGACGAAGGCCAGGAGGAAGAACACCGGGTCGCCCACCCCCGCCCGGAGATGCGCCGGGAGGCCGGCAGCGGGGTACGCCCCTGCTCCCACGTTCGCCACGTACCCCTCCTCCTCCTCCCTCGCTCCGGTCTCCTCCTCCAACACCGCCGCCGCCGCCGCCGCCGACTCGCGGTTGGCCTCGACGGGGTCGGAAGAGCGCTTGCCGGGGAGAGGAGGAAGGGGAGGCGGTGGGGGTTGGAGGGAAGCGAGGGGAGGGCGCGGGCGGCGGCGTGGGTGCGGCGGCGCGGGGACGGAGACGGGGCGGAGGAGGCGGCGGGGAGACGGCGGAGGAGGAGGGCGGTGGTGGTGGTGGTGGTGGTGGGTTGCCATTGCCGGAGAAGGGGACGGCTGAGGCGTAGGCGGCGAGCGAGCGAGCGAGCGTCTCCGACTTTGGTGCAATCTCGTCCGTCGAACAAACTAAACAGCGCCTAGGATTAAGAGCATCACCAACACAGTATCCCTATATTTCATCCCAAAATATTTTTTATGGGAATACCAAACAAAGTTTAAGGTGTAAAAATAGTGATCCCTCCAAAAAATTAGCTAAAATTGATTTCCTAAAAATTAAAAGTGGACCCACACAAAACTACCAACAGAAATTTGTTTCCCTTTCCTTGCCGCAAGATCGTGCTCGGCCAAGCGACCAGTTGTCGCACTAGATCACCGATCGGTATCGCTCCTCTCCACGCGATCCAGCGAGATCAATCCTTATGATGCTCTCCTCAGCCGGCATCCCCCCAGCTTCCCTACCCTCTGTTCGTCGTTGAGCAATCTTCTTGTCATGCCGATTCTTATTCCTCTCCGAAGGAACAAGGAGAGATAGAGATGAGTTGTTGAAGCAACTTCATCCAAATGCTTGTCAAAACCTTTGCACGTATATTTCAACCGCAACAAGTAGCAGATTTAATGTGGATAATGTGGAATCAATTTGTACTCTAGTGAAATAAGATGTCAAAATTCTGAATCTTGATTCTGAAGCTGAATTTTACTAAACTTGAAATCTCCTTTTTTTTTTCCCATCCAACAATAATTGTTTTTTTTTTCCCATCCAACAATAATTGTGGGCAACAGAGTGCGTGAACTTGGTAAACTATATAAACTACGATGAACTATTGCAACTTGCAACAATTTTCAATTTTCAGCAGCAGCCTTTCCAGCAACAACAATTTGTAGAAGCTAGGGAAGAAAACCGATGCTAGGGAAGCATGGGGAAGACAACGCTGACGGCGAAACAGAACCGGCGGCGTATGAGGACGAAAGGAAGCTATGCAGGAACATTTCGCCTACCGCGCTCGAAGGAGCGAAGTGCAATGGATTGGGAGCGGGACCTCATCCCCAGAAGTGGAGACCGAACAATCCAGGTTTGAGATTTTCATCCATTGGGAGCTTAGCTAGGGAGTCTGTTGGAGACAGTTTTTGAATGAAAATTCCTAAATTCCAGTATTGGGAATCATATACAGATATTGTTGGTGATGCTCTAAGTTTGATTTGTCCACAGTAGCAAACCGAACAAAATTATATGCCAGTCCAAGAATCGAATCAACTTCAAACCAAGGTTATTCAAAAATCATTTTCTTCATTTGCATTGGCTTCATAAGCTGCATGTATATACCAGCAAAACAGAGGCCGGGTTTTCAATCCATTATCTAAAAAAGAAATATACCAACAAACCAGCTGCACTTGGCATGAAAACGGCTCAGAAACTCTACGTTTTCGTTTTCATTTTATTTTTCAGAATTCGAATCAAAATCGGAAATCCCGATATAAAAACGGAATCGAATATTATCGAATACGAAAATGGAAACGAACATTTTATCAAAATATGAAAACAACTAAGCTTCTCATATCAACGAAGAGAATGTAGCTTATTATTTTTCCTAAAACAATCTACATTTCTAACTTTTACCAATTAATAATAATCCAATTAGTTGTACACTTCACTTTCAGGAAGTAGCATGGTCTGCAAGTAGACCATACTACTTATTATAGATGGCCAAACGAACGGCACGGCCTAGGCCCGGCCGTGCCTAGGCCGAGGTTAGTTGGGCCGGCACGACCCGGCCTACACTCCGGGCCATGCTGTGCCAGTCCACATGCCGCACACACGGCCAGACACGGCCCAACACGACTCGGGCCATGCCGGGCCAACCGGAAGGCACGACGGCCTATCGAGCTTTTCCACAGAATAAGTCTATTTTACATCCCTCAACTATGTGGGATGGGTCAATATGGCTGGAAAAGGAACAAGTTCATCTAAGGTCTCTTAACTTGTCAACAAATCCGATTTCCGTCCCTCAACCGAAAAACCAGACACAACGGGTCCCTCAACTATCAAAATCGGTACAGATTAGGTCCCCCGGTGGTTTTGAGGCTAGTTTTGGTTGACGTGGCGCCTACGTGGCTAATTTGACTCGGTCTTCATCTGACGTGGCATTGATGTGATGCTGACGTGGCAATTCGATCCGGAAAAATAATAAAACCCGTGGGACCCCATGTCAGTTTCAAACACAAATTAATAAAAAATGGTGGGTCCACGTAGGCCCCACATATCATCCTCACCCCTCCTTTTCTTCCTCCTCTCTCCCCATCTCCCTTCTGTTCATCTCTCTCCCCTCACCGACCGGTGGAGCGGGGCGGTGGCGACCAGAGCGGGCGGTGGCGACCAGAGCGGGCGGAGTGAGGCGGCCGGCGGGAGCGGGCCGGCGGAGCAGGGCGCCCAGAGCGGAGCAGGTCCGCGGGCGGAGATGCTTCTGAACAAAGATAAAGCATCGAGCTCACTGCACACAGAATATACAAAGAGTGACTATTGCCTGTGCCTAGCGATCCATGCACCATGCTCCACGGAAAGGCATCATTGAGGTAGTTTTACGCTTGCCCCATATGATATTCCTGCAACATGGCTCTCCTCAAGAAGAAAAAAAACATTTGTTCATCTGTAAATAGCATTACGGAAGGTTGTCGATGTGATTGTCGACGGAAACTTATAATGTGAGGTTGTGCTCTGTGTTTACAGATCTGGCAAATGCGGACAGGGGTACGTCTTCTGACCATCCCGTGCCCCAAGGGAAGCAGGATCTTACAGCCATCGACGAGATTCATGTCATCGCCCTTCTCATCGTCTTATTCACCATTGGAGGTTTTCCTGTTCAATGTGACTCTGGGCAGTTTTTTTTTTTCTATTAGCTGCCATCTCCGCCGGCCCGCTCCGGCCGCCCGGCTCCGCCTCGTCCATCGCCGGCCTAGCTTGGTCGCCGCCGCCCCGCTCCACCGGTCGATGAGGGGAGAGAGATGAAGAGAGGGGAGATGGGGAGTGAGGAGGAAGAAGAGGAGGGGTGAGGATGACACGTGGGCTCCACTATTTTTTTATGGGTTAAGTCCGATTACCCCCCTAAACTCTTGTGAAAGTACGCTTTACCCCCTGAACTATGATACCAAGACATAATATCCTTTGAACTATTCAATCCGGACACTTAACCCCCCGCGACTAATTTCGACTAGTTTTACCTCTTTGGTCCGACGTGGCACACCCATGTGACAAATCATGTGGCAGTTACGAAAAATACCCCTTTCCTCCCCTCCCCCCTCTCTCTCTCCCCTCTCCCCCGTGAAAAATTCCCCACCCAAACCCCTATCCCTAGCGGCGCAGGTGGAGCTGGGCGGCGCGGCGGCGTGGTGAAGGGCGATGCAGGCGAGGATGTGTGGCGCGAGCGGCAGCGCTGCGCAGGCATGACGCTCGCTCGGCGGCGCGGCACAAGCACACAGCAGCGATGCACATGCGCACAAGCGCAGCGGCGAGGCACACGTGCAGTGGCACGACGCTCGCACGGCGGCGAGGCGCAAGCATGGGACGGCGCACAGGTATGCCACAGAGCTCAAGCATGTCACTGATGCAAAGGTGCAGATGGAGACCAATGTTGCTAGGCACAAAGAACAGATGGAAGCAATGGGGAAGCAAAAGATGCTGGAAATGCTAATCTAGTTGCTAAAATTAATATGTTAGAGAAGGAAAGATGTATGCATTAGTAGCATGTGTATTTAATTCTGGGGTTGTATGTTAAGCCGTGATCTTCCTGTATATGCAGTGTATTAGCATGTAATCACTGCATGCATGTAATCAGTATTGATATATGTCATGGAGGCTATCTGAACTAGCATGTTTCTCAATTTGTGATGGTTGTGTTTGTGCAATAAAGTGTGTGTGCAGTTAGTATAAATCAATCAAGGAGGCTATTTGGAATAGCACAAGGCAACACATATGCTTCAGTGAACATTTTTCAACTTAATTAAATCACTTAGCCATAAGTTTGGCATTACCACCAAAATAAGCATCACTAGCCGGTAGCCACAAGTCTGGTTTTACAACAAAAAGAACTTGTCATCAGAGTCACAAATATGACATTACTGTTAGACAATATGGTTTAGATATGTATATGGTTGAGTTTTATCTCTAAGCCTAGATCCTTATCCTCCCGATTCTGTTGCTATAAATCGGTAGAGTGGTTATGGACAGGCATATATATGTACACACTCCGTGATTAATCCAATCTACGTTGAGTTCCTCCGTCTTACATGGTATCAGATACGGTATCGCTTCCGCTCCACACCTAAACCCTATCGCTGCTTCCCTATGGCGCCCGAGAACACATCGACGGTGTCCACTTCCGATGCAGCCTCCGCTGCGATCGACGAGGCTGTCAAAGCCATCGCCGACGCCGTGCGCAACTCCTTCACCCCCTCCTCCGGCTCTGACGTCGACCCCACCACTGGAGAAGCGGTCGCCGCCGCCGCTGCTCGGCGCGCATCCAAGGCCGCCCACGACGCGCTCTCCACTGCCCTCGCGTCCTTCCTCTCCACCACGTCTTCGTCGGCCACGTCAACCTCGGATGGCGCCTTGCGCATCCCCGCCTCCACCGCGCCGGCCACCACTGCCCCGGCGTCCACCGCTCCTTCCTCTGTTCCTCCCGGCGCTCCATCTATACCACCGGCGCTGGAACAACTCTTCGCCGCGGCGCGTCTCGCTGCTGGACCAGGCGCCTGCGGCAACTACGACGACACGGCGCCCCATCTTCTCGGCTTCCCCGGCGACTTCATCCCCACCGCGCCAACTCGTCCCGCCGCACCACCTCTCAACAAAGAGGCCCGAACCGCCCTACACGCGCAGGCTGTCGGTGTACTGAACGTCAAGGCGCTCGTCCCCGTCACCCTCGACGTCGGCGCCGCCAATTTCACAAGATGGTGCGGCCTCTTCCTCGTGGCTCTCGGCAAATACGCTTTGACGGATCACGTTCTCTCCGACAACTACTTCCCCGATCGCGCCGACTGGCTCCAGATGGATTGTGTCGTACTCGGGTGGCTCTACGGCTCAATCTCCGCCGATCTCCTTCAAGAAGTGATGACCCACGTCGCCACCGCCCGGTCGGTGTGGCGCG